CCCGAGTCCCGGTGCATCTGGGACACGGTGTTGCGACCAACACAAATGGAATTCCAAGTGGCCTGAGGGAGCACTCGAAGCAGGAAGGCGTTGAGCTGCTTGACGAAGTCCTGCATAGCCAAGGTGGCTTGGGTCAGGGTGGTTGGGCAACTCGCTTTGGGGCCAAAGTTGAAATAGCCCGACTGTGAAGAATTCGAAGACGTCACGGAAGCACGATGTGACCTGTTAGCTGGCCACTCTGTTGCTCGAAAAAATTGCAAAATAGAAGAAAAGGTGCAATCACTCGCACTAGCACTCTGCTGACACGGGATGCGAACTTGTGAAGGAGAATCGTTCTCAGCAGGCAAGTCCTGCTGAGCTGCAAAAGGCGGTCCAGGAGAGTCTGGACTCGCTCGACTCTGAGTCGAGCTCTGCGAGCTGCTGGGCTCGCCTTCCGACTGTCACTCTTGCTTCTGGCCTAGAGCCTCAGCGCGCATGGGACAATCCAGGGCGGGGTGCGATTTGCCGCAGCGCGGCCACGCACATATGTGCAAGCCACGCACGCAGCGACCTCGAGTCACCGTCTCGCGGCACGTTTTGAGCCCATACCCAAAACAAATGTTCTCGCCTGCATTCGTGCAGGATCGGCACCCTGAGAGGGCACTCGGGACCTTGCCGCCGCCCTTGCCACCTTTGTTGCCTTTCCCAGTGCCCTTCCTGGTTCCCTTGTTCGGACGCTCGTATGGGCCAGCCCCGTGGAACTTGGGCGGAGGAGTCACTTGATTTGAAGCTGAGCTCCCTGCTGCACGAGGCATGGGTTGCAGGAGGTGAAGAACCTCCGGCGACTGCCAAGTCTTCTCGAAAATGCCGTCCAATGGCCTGCCACCAGCCTTGAGCTGGATACCCGAACGAGTGGACTCGCCCAGAAGTTGCCAAAGCTTCCTGTCCGCCTGTTGGCACTGATCAAGTGTCGGCTGGAGATGCGTAGCTGGGTGACTGTCCAGGCGTGCAGAGAGAAGTCTCTCCACCCAGTGATAATGAACATGGTAATCAAGGATGTTTGCCATCTCCATGGCAATGCCGCGCCTTTGCAGCGCCAGCTGCAGAAGGAGCTCGGTGCTCGTATCAGCACGCACCTCAACCTTGGTCTCGGACCTAAGCTTGCCTGAGCTGTCAAGCGAGAAGAAAGGCTC